GTACAGTGTTTTTAACATAAGAATGTTCAAGTCTGAATTTTATGATATGTAAGTGGAAGATTCTTGATATCTTTGAATATTGTGACTTATAAATAAGATATAAGACTATATCTTTTATTAAGTATAAAATTGTTTAGTATAGCTTTAATAAGAAAGTAATGTACTTTATATTATTTTAATATTAGACTGCTATAACTTTTATCATTTAAATCAGATCACTAATAAACCAAAATAACTAAAATCATATGCTTGTATTATGCAGGGAAAATCCTTTATTTTGCTTATTCTGAAGTATTATTATAGCTTTACATAAGCTGGAAATTAAATTAACCTTTTTTATTAAACTTATAGTTTAAAAATTAGTTTTTTGTGTAGTTTTATATCTTATATTCAATTGAATTCAGTTACATATAAATTCTAGTCTAATTCTGCTTTTAAAACTAAAATAAACTTTCTTTTATAAACAGCTAATTTAAAGATTTTTTATTATCTAGCATATATTTTTTATTGCAGAAATGAATTTCTTGAGGCCTTTTTAGTCTAGAAAAGTTTCAAAATATATAGTTGTATATTATAAACTCTATTTTTTATGCTTCAAAGTTAACCTCCAGAAATCAATTTTTGCACTTTGATCTTTGATATTTTCAATTTTTGCACCCTACATAGTTTTTAATTTTTGTACTTTTGGGGGGTCTCATTTTTGATTTTTGCACTTTTGACCTTAGGAACTTTGACCTAAGGAACTTGCCCAACTCACCAACTTAATGTATTAATTTTCATCCCAGAACAACTTACTTTTTTATATAAAAGGATGAAAAATATTCCAGAAAGTTGGTGAGTTCACGCAAAAGAATTTGAAAATCCCGCATTTTTACCTTCAGGTTCTGAATCTACAGTATATGTGGGGTATATTGACCTTGCATTGTCTGTAATTCAAATAACCATACCAAAAAACCCTACATTAACTTTACACTTGGAGTAAATTTATTTAGGATTTATGCCAAGCATTCCCAATAGCCTTTGGCTGTCTTGATTTTTTTCATGATTTCAAAGCTGATTGCTGCAACCAAGGCCGACACATTGCCTAAAAAATATCTCAAAACAGATAGGGGCTCTCATATAGCTGCATCCTGACATATCTAGTAACATGAGACATTCTTCTGACAATATCAAAATACAGGCAATATCCCCAGATTAGGAACAAAGCCAATTATAGGCATCAATTCCTTGGTAAGTTATCTATCATTAAAACTATACTTTTATTCTGCAACAATGACATCCTCTCGTGAGTTAGTGGCTACCTTTTACAGTATATTAACTGGTGCTTCATAATAAAGCTGTTATCACATTCTTATTCAATGTCCTTCTTTTCTGGACTGATGTCTTTGCCCAACTCAAATACTGAACTATAATTAGTTCAATTACAACACAGTAGAAACCAAATCCAGAATCAAAATAAAATAAAAAAGAGATCATTGTTTGGAAAATGTCTAGATTTTTTGTCATTCTTGGTAAACCAACAAGCCACAAGTTACCACCTATTCAAGTGACATGATTAGGTAGCAGCTTGTGGCTTGTCATCATACCAAGAATGACAAAAATTCTACAAATCAACTTAACAATGGCCTCTTTTATTTTACATTTATGTTGATTCTGGATTTAGTTTCTTTGATAATGACAAAGCTAATAGAAACCAAGATGTCTGAAGGCATTTATGAACTCTCAGTATAAATCCTAATAAAATTTACTTAAAGTTCAAAGTTAATGTAGTATTTTTGGTATACTTATTTGACTTGCAGATAATGTGATATCAATATATTCCAAATGAAGAATACATAAAACAAAAAATTGTACCATTAATGATTCCTGTTATGTGCTTAATTGGTTAAGAGAGACAAAGAAAAAAGCATGGACAACAGGGGGTCTAGAAAAAAAGGAAATTCATTTTCTTAAAGTACCTTTATGGTTATCTGTGAAAGCCTTGTGTTCAAGTATGGTTAAAATATTAATTAGAGATGAGAGAGAGGGTGCGGGTTGGGTGTAAGGGGAATTTGGGTATGTAAATAAGACAATAAAAGCCCTTTTTCAGCAACACTTGCTGCATTATGAAGTGCTGTGTACTGCTCTTCTGTAATGGGTGAGACAGGGGTAAATAGAGCAGAGCAACAAGGGAGCAGATAATGATTGTGTGGCTATTTCCTGTATTCAACATTTTAAATACAGACTCAGAGAAAATATTAGACACAATATGCTGCAAAAGCAAGCCATTATAGGTATTTAAGTCCAATATTAAAAAAACATCATTTATATCCTTGTCTTGGATTATACTGCCAACATTTTAAAATATAATATCAGCAATATGGCATTCCAGGTGACCAGGAAGATATATGAAGTACTGTAATCCTGCCTCTTAGATTGTGTCCTTTTACTTCTTGGTATTGTTCATTTGATTTGAGATAGAACATGTAGTTGGCCCATGTTGACTGTTATATTTTCAGCATAGTCTTCATTGTATACTTGTATCTTTATTGGATGACATAATTGGCTAAAGCCTGATAAAATAGTCCCTCTCAGGGAGACCCCAAAAGTGTCCAAGAAAACCAATCTTTTTTTTACTACTTTTGTCATTATGGCCTTTTTGGTGCCATAATTCTGGAAAGTTTACAGCCAGTTTATAATAAAATAAAAAATATCATCACTAGTTGACATGAGAAATTATCTAGATAACACCAGAAATTATGGATTTTATGGTTTTTTAATGAACTCAACTCACTAATCATCATAACAATTGGAGGGTAATTGCACCAATATTATAGATTCATACATCCACACCTATATCATCCTCTTGAAGACCCAAATATCATGATGACCCAGTTGTTATCTGACCTGAGTTAGTTTGATTTAAGGATCATGTTTAATAGTGACATTATGATAGGATAAGCTTCTGTACATCAGGATATTCTTTTAGGATATACAGGCTTTTCTTTGAGAATGTTTCCTTGCTTGTGTACCCCTTTAACTACTTCATGACGGTTGCTTGAGTGAACTTAGACATTTGTAAATTTCCTGAAAGTCCATATTTTCAGTGTTTAAGGACATAATCCCCTGTGAAATCTGAGCAATTATAATTTTTGGCCTTTTCCATGTTATGCTTGAGTCTGCTTTTTGATAAATGGTGGATGATGATTGGGTGTATTCATATAATGAAAATAGAGTGGCATTGGCCAAAGGAGTATTGGTTCTAATGTCTTCTTGTATACAGGTTTGTTGATTGCACTGATCAGTGGTTGTCTTCAAGTGGTGTAAAAACATCAAGCTGATAGTTTCACTGGAAGTAACATACAGCACTTTATCCTCATGTGTGTAGTTAAAGTCCAGGGTGTATACACCAGCTGTATTATTCCCTTGCTCTTGGTTGAAGGCTTATATAAGCTTTTAGCCTATTAGTTTTATAACCTGTTGAGATAAAGAAAATCATCTCAGTCTAAGAACTAAAATCAAAAATCAAGAAATTTATACTATATTACAATATATTTGGTACTGCTTTAATTTTTTGGACTGAGATGGTTTTGTTTATTTCAACAGTTTATAAAAAACTGTACTTAGTGTCAGTAATTGAAAAATCACTATTACTTGCAAAAAATAGATTACAATTTTAATAAAAGAAAAATATATTTATACTTATGTGATTGATATGAGTTAATTTTATTATAAATTTACTACCTGATATTTGAATGATCTAATCAGGAAGCTGAATTTTAAAATTTGATACCTGAATTCCCTAAATCAAAACAATTGAGTTAAATATGGATATTTATTTTTCCTTTTTGGGTCTTATTTTCAATCAAAATAAGGTGAAAAAATTGTTATTTGTCTGTGTTTTTTAATGTGTGCACAACTTTTGTGACTCTTTATTTGATAATTATGTGCTCTAAATATGCCTTTGATAATGAAATAACATGCATTTGAGTGCTGTTTGTAATCCAAAATATCACTGTGTAAGTTTTAGTTGCTCTGTCTTTTGGTTGTGTATCATAAACTTTAAGTGTGATTATGTTTTTTACTTGTGTTTGATTATTTTATGTGCCAAATTAAAATTAGCAATGGCTTTTCTCCTGTTGTCATCAGGAAAATTCATATAAGTTATATTTTGTTTTATGTGTGACTCTAGTTTACTTTAATCTTACTTTTATGTGTCCATCTCAACATCTGTGAAAATTAAGATATGATGTATTTTATTTTTTTGGTTATTGTATACTCTTAATGTATCCCTGAATAAAATTGGGGTTCCTGTTTTGTGTTTTGGGGCTCAAACTGATTTAGGATATACTTTTTAGATAATTTTATATTTGGGTTTTGTATTTGTAATCCCCTTATTTTCAAAAATAAACATAATAAACCTTGTATGGGGGTTTGATATTTCAATTCAGATTAATATTGGTTTCTTTTTGACTAGTTGAAAAGTCATAGACACAGTTTAAAAACATTTATTGTGTCTACAAAATAATATATTATGCTGTATTTTAAAAAGACTTAATTAACAGAAATTCATATTTTACTTCATATTACTAATTTTGTATGTTGGATTTGACAATCCTACATTTTTCAAAAGGAAGTACTTCTTCAGTATCAGCTTTTGAAAAATAAATGTCAGAAATGATATAGTAACATAAATTCATTAATAATATTCATAATATCAAAATATAAAGCATAATTTGATTTTTACATTATTTAAAACTTCTTATCATACAATAAAGATATGAAAGAAAGACAAAACTAAGCTAAATAAAAGGAATTTAAAATGATATATTGCTTGGATTTAAAGTTTTATTAACATTTAAAAGCAAAAAAATATTTCTAATATAATTAGCATTATATTATAAATCTGGCCATATAAATTCATATACATAAATTTCCTGATATAAATAGGAACTTATCTGGAGAACATATATGTGTACTATATATACTACCGCCGAAATAGCGCATAGAAAATAGAAATAGCTCGTGTGGCGCAATTGGCTAGCGCGTAAGACTGTTAATCTTGAGGCTGCTGGTTCGATCCCAGCCATGAGCGACTTTTTGTTAATTGTTATTTCATTGTGGGGTAACTAATAAAATTTTATTTTAACATATGATAATGTTTTGTAATGGTTCCATAAGTTACAAGTGTGTAATTTTCCATTTGGCAAGGGGTGCCCAAACATAATAAAATTTCAAAGTAGAATTTTGTATATGTTTAAGAAATCAAATGTTTATTCTTTTAATTCCCAGCTGGGGTTTTAAAGCTTGGGAAGGCTCTTTCTTAATCAATATTTATTATCATGAAAATATCATTATATAAAGTAAATAATCACATATGTTATACAGTAGTTTTCAAACCTGTTAAGATAAACATATATTGGTCAATTTTAATGCATAGGTTCAGTCACAGAATGAATTTCAACTTGTTAGATCTAAATAGATGATATTTCCACAGAAAATGTGCACTATTTGGCAAAAATGTCCAGTCATACAATGACCTACTTAAACCGGGGATAAATATATAATGATTCAACAACAAGTGTACCAAACACTAGAATACATGTTTCAGTCACAGAATGAATCTACTAGGTTTACTATGTTTTTTATGAACACATGTATCTCAGTCACAAAAATTACAAACTTGATCCAACAATAAACCCCAATAGCAACTGAAACTGAAAACAAAAACATCAAATATCAAAATAAATCAATGGATCTATAATACTGTTACTAGCTTGTCCTAATTAAGAATACAATCTAGAGTAAAAAAGGAAATAAATATTCTGAGTGACTGTTTTGGGATTAGAATTAATAAAAAAGATCAAATTTATCCAAACCCATGATTAACAGTGCACATTTACAACAAAAATAATTAATATTGAAATCTAAAAACCTAATTTGACATACACAGTAGTGACTACAAGCCTTTAGGCTACTTTATATAGAGAGATAAAAATTGTAATAAATATATTATATAGATAGACTGATTTTAATTTATTTAATTTTTTATATCAAAATGAAAGCTTCACAACAACAGAGTAACAATGAACCCATTGTGCGCTGCAGTTGCAGTTGCCCCTGTGGGTCAAGGAACAGAGTTAGTGCAACACAAGTGCCTACTCAGGAAGGAGACAGAGGAGAGTTCAATAGTGAGGTTGCACTGACACAACTAGCTCAAGGGGTACAGAGTGCAAGGGCACATATAATAAATCCCAGAGTCCAGAAGCTGACCAGAAAATTCACCAAGGTCATCACCACTAAAACAGTAAATGTTGTCATCACAAGAGGGTTTCCTTGGTGTATGACCCTGTATACTGCTGTGATGGGGTTCCAGCTACAATCATGGAAAAGGTGAAGCCTGTCCTTGACACCAAGTACAAGCCTTAAATGAGGGATAAAAAGGGGAATATGACAACAAGGAGCCATAATACTATTAAACTACTGATGGACAGCAGGTTCTAAAAAAGGTTGCTACATTCTGAAGCCAAGTGCCTATGTCCTGTGTTGTGGGTGAGCCCATGGAGTTGCTTCCCAATCCCAAAAAGCCAAAGTACCACATCATCCCTGAAACTACCTGTGAGACCTTTAAGATACTTATGAAAGATATTCCAGACTACAAGAAGGCTGTGACTATTATCAGAATTTCGGGTAAACCTGCTCATAGGCTCCACAAAACCTATCTGAAAATGTGTGTCATCCTACTCTCAGAGAAATTCAAGCACCAATCAATCCTATTGATCAAAAAACACCTGTGGGCAATCCAGCAGTTGATTAAGCAGAACTGCCATTTTGAGCTGGAAAATATTCAGTCAATGGTTGAGTCAACTTTGGGGATTGAGGCCTCAATTTCCACATGCTATCACACTTTAAAGGGTCTGAGATTCTTCTGGAAAAAATCTTGAGGTTTCTCCATATAACCACAATAGCCTGGACAACATTGAGTACTTCTAGAAATACACTGAGACTGCTACTGATCTCAAGGAGAAGGGCACAGTAAAGTTCTTCTATATTGATGAGTCCTCTTTTGTGTCATTAATTCACAGTGAGTATGGATATATCCCCAAAGGTGAAAATAATGGCATGTCCTGGCGTGCGGCTGTTTGGTCTGTTGCCTACTCAATGATAGCCCTTCTTAGTTGTCTTGGCATTGAGCTATATCAGATAATCAAGGGTTCCCATAACAGTAGGATCTTCCTGGAATTTCTCCAATTGGTTTGAGAGCACCTCCAAGTCACCAGTTTGGGTATCACTAATATCATAATATTGGATAATGTTGGGCTCCGCAAGGTGGCATATATTCTCAATGAATTCCATATGATTGAGCCTGGTGTAGAAATTGTCTCCCAACAATTGAACACATCCAATTTGTGCCTTCTCTTCCTCCCCTCCTATTTGCTATTCTTTAACCCAATCAAGAAGGTCTTTGGGTGGCTCAAGCAAGTAGTCAAGAAAGAGGTGCCACCTGGGCCTGATAATTTGTTCAATTTTCTGCAGGTTAGTGTCCATACCCTCTCATCTGAAACCTTGGCTAGATTTTATGGCCATGTTGATTTGTTTCTCCCTGTGTGCCTCCCCAAGCAGCCAATCAATTAAAGGCTTTGCAATTCCAAATATTTTTTACATTCTATTTTTTAATATTATTTTTTATTTAGTTTATTTTATATTGGCGTTCTTTATATGAGCCCAATTGTATACCATCAGATATTATAAAAATTAACAAATCAAAGCCAAATGAATGAATGAATAACACACAAAAATAATTATTTTTATTTTTTGATTTTATTTTTGAATATGAATGGTTTGATTAAAGTAGATTTGAAAGAAATTATAAAAAATTTAAAAACTTTATTTGGGTTTGGAGATTTATTAGGGGTGTGAGCAGTAGATTTCCAGGACTTGTTGTTGAAATAAACTAGAAATTTCTATTTAAAAAGTTTATGATGTCATTTCTCATGTACTATATAAATTGCAGCAGCTTGAGTACAGGGGCACTGTGATACAATTGGCCAGGAGTATTTTTTCTGATGGAGCTGACATATCATAGGTGGCGGCAAGAATAACTGCATCCTGAATAACATGCTCTATTGAGCTGTACCCAGGTGCAATTTTTTCCATCTAGTAAATGTCTAATTTCATCCAGTTTTATATTATTTCAAAAGAGTTGTGTGCTTCTGCTTTAATACCCATCATTATAAAAAGACCTAGGTAAACAATTAAGTGAAGTCTCTGCCCTGCAAACAGGGCTGAGAACTTACAAAACTTATTTTATAGAGTACTTATTTTATTTTTAAGGGACATAATAGCAAAGGTTTTTTACATGGTTGGTGGTATTCCAATCTTGTTGGAGCACCAAAGACCCCAAAGTCTTCAAGGATGCCCACAACAGCAGGCAGGACAGCAGACAGGACGGTGGACAAACTATAGGTAAGGGAGGTTACTCTTTCTTTTAAATTTTTTAGGATGTGTGATAACCTTTATTCTTCCTGGAAACAAAAACATACTTATTCTTGTTTTCTCTCTACTTCAGGTAAGTTTTGATATGTCATGGTGTTGACAAAGTCCTAGACAATAAGGACAAATAGCTTGCAGAATTTGGGAATGTATTATACTGGTTGAGGTGGAGCTTAGGGGCTGCAGCCAAAGCTGCAAACCACCATTTGGTGTCATCTGGTTTAGGCTAGAGCTTTTTGAGTAGGGACAAGGTGATAGGGTAATTCTTCTCTATTTTTTTTATCATTTCAGATCAGGCAGCTGGTGTCAAGGCCAGCTGACGCCCTATGTGGGGGACATAGTTGCTTTAAAAGGCCTGGGTCATGTAGGGTTTTAGGTATTGAAAGACTAATCCTTTATTCTCTTCTATAAATAAAAAGCTATTATAATCTTTTTATTTATTTAATATTTTATTTTTTACTTTCTTCTATATCTTTACCTGTTGCTCCCTTGACAGGGGCTGCTTCACAAGACTTCTCACTTGATGGTTTCTGGTCTTCTTCTGTTATTTTATTTTATTTTGTTTCTTTTTATTTTTTAGTTGCTCAAACATCTCAGGATCTTTTTCCCATGCCTCTGCGGCTGCAAACCCCTATGGCTTGAACTTTATGTTAGCAAGAACATCTTTTTGTACATTAAGGAGCCTGGTTGCAAGTTTGTCAGTTGTATTTGGTATCTTGCTCTTCACGGCCTTCACAGTAAGTTTGTTCAGTTTTTCACCTTCTAACACCACCAGTACAACACATCACCTCAAAACTCACCATCTTGAAAAACGTTTTTTTAAATACATCATCTCAAAATTTGGCTATCTTGATTTTATAGTAAAAACATCATTTCAATTTACAGCATTGCAACAATGAAAAACAGGTTTTAAAAATTTAGTTTTTTTGAACTCCAAAAAATATAAAAAATTAAAATTTAAAAATATTTCTAGGCTTAAAAGGCCTCAGAATTTTAAATCTGCAATAAAAAGGGGGTCAATTAGAAGCAACAAGCCTGCATAAAGGGCAAAAGTCAAAATCTACACAAAAATAAACATTTTTATCTATTATAGCTATGATATATACTTTAAAATAAGCAATTATTTGTACAGTAGTTTTAAAAGCTATGGCAACAACCAAAAATACCTCAGATTTAAACAAAATGATTTCAGATTTAAACAAAATCCAAGTTGCGTGAGATTCAGGATTCAATTAATTTATAAAATTTCAGTTAATAAATGGACTTTCAAACAAAAAAAACAAAATTTCACTAGCCCATTATACAAAATTATATCAAACATCAAGCAGTGTAGTTCAAATCACAAGCAAAATGAACTGACGTAACAGGTGAAATGGATGGATGCTGTTCCAAAGTATACTATAATCCAATCAGAATTCATATGAGGCATCAACAGAAGAACTAAAGTGAAACAAAACTTGAGCAATCTAGAAGCAAGATTACACAAGCACAAAACAAAATGAACTCACACAAGATGTGTAGTATGAGCAGCCTAAAATAGAAAAATAACAGTTTAACAGCCAATCAACAGCTATTCAATTTAGGAACAGAGGCATTTTATCC